CCTACTAGTAGTTTCTACCTAATTGTTTACACCTACTAGTAGTTTCTGCCTAATTGTTTACACCTATACTAGTAGTTCCTACCTAAAAGTTTACACCAACTACTAGTTTCTAGCTATAACAGTTCTTGAATAATAGTTTACACCAACTAGTAGTTTCTTCCTAATAGTTACACCTACTAGTAGTTTCTGCCTAATTGTTTACACCTATACTAGTAGTTCCTACCTAAAAGTTTACACCAACTACTAGTTTCTAGCTATAACAGTTCTTGAATAATAGTTTACACCAACTAGTAGTTTTTTCCTAATAGTTACACCTACTAGTAGTTTCTGCCTAATTGTTTACACCTACTAGTAGTTTCTACCTTATAGTTTACACCTATAACAATAGTTTCTGCATAATGTTTTTTTACCTAATAGTTTATACCTACCAATATAGTTTCTGCCTAATAGTTTACTCCTACTGATAGTATATATAGAAACTAGTAGGTTCTACCTGATAGTTTACACCTACTAATAGTTTATGCCTAAAATTTTATACCTACTATCAGTTTCTACCTAATAATTTACAAAAACTAATAGTTTAAAACAAAAAAATTTGCCAACTAAACCAATTTCTTTCTGAAAAATATACCTCCATAATAGAAAAATACCTTATTCCTTTTTTTTCCCTAAAAACTTTTATAACACCCTCTATAGAAGTCAAAAAAAAAGTTTTCTTTAAATTCAGAGCATTTTCTTGCCCGCTTGAAATTCGAGGAATTTACGTAATCAACCCAAGAAAAATGTGTGTATGTGTGTGTGTGTGTGTGTCGCGTCCCTCCAAGAGAGTGATTCTCTCTCAAAATAGAATCCCTTCTGAAACGAGTTTACGTTCCAAGTTTTCGTGGAAAATCCAATTCTTTTTTGGTATGAGTGTTTGTAAATGTATATATATATGTATATGTGTGTAAGCGAAACTTTTCTTAAGCGGATCGATGGAAAGAGGAAGAGTGAGTGAGTGGGAGAGGAAAAGGGGGATCTCTTTCCTCTCTTTTCTGAGGAATGATGCGGAAGGCGGGACAAAGAGAGTGCGGGGTCACAGAATATATATATATATATATATAAGGGCTTGGAAGGAACTGGCTGCCTCTCATTAAGCTAAATTGTCTCTCAGGATGAGCTTCCTTAATTACTTACGCGAAACCCCCTTTTCCCTCTTCGTTTCCTCTCGCGCATCATCCCTTTTCTTCCCTCTTTGATGCATCCTAAAATTCTCTCTCATACTCTCTTTGTACTTCCTCTCTCTTAAATATATATATATATATATATATATATATACATGATGGCTTCTCTCTCCATTTACATGTATATATGTACAGAAACTCACTTCATTTACATAGACAATAACTAAGACAAGACTGACGGAAAACTATACCATTATTGTATATCTAGTAGAAGAATGTAACTTACAAGCGAAAACAATGTAATGTGCCTTCTTGAATATATTTGACTCCTATAACCTTTCTCTATTAAAAATTGTAATGAGGATTTTAATTACTTTTCGCGGAGAAATTTTGAATGGACCCACGGCAGACTGTCCTAAATTTGTGTGAAACATTAAATTTGTTTGGTAACACAGGAGGAGCCCCATTTCAGCCAGGTTACAGCCGGGCCATGCCAGAGCCTGGTTTTACCCCGGTTTCCTGTTTCATCCAGGCGAGAGCCACATTATGGCATTTTTACACAAAAGGTTATACCTTTTTCTGTCCGACAATTTGACTCTAAAGTGGATGGAAAAGGGAAACCAACGAAAGGCAAACCAGGCTCAGGTAGGGCCCTGATAAAGCCCTGGGTTTGATCGATTTTAACCGAAATATTAGGGCTTTCTCCCACGTTGGACTACCCTAAATCCAGTAGAGGCAGTAGAAGAAGACCCACTTCAGTTCGTTTTAAACCAGGGCCCGGCTGGGGTCTATTTTGGCCCCGGTTTGGTTCCTTGTTTCGCTCAGAACAGAGATTGTCCACTTTCTACACAGAATCAAAATTAATCTTTTTCAGTAAAATTTCAATGCAAAAATTCGTCAATCTGGCCCTACCCTGGGTGAAGTAGGGAACTGGGGCCAGATTTAAAATTCCCTAACATGGGCCCTTCCAGGGCCAGTTCTAAATTTCAAAACGGGTTATAATGAGGATTATAACGACTTTCCGTGTGGAAATTTTGTATAAGGCCCTAGCTGGGTCCTAAATTTGCATAAAACACGTAAGAAGCTTCATTTTAGATTAAAATTGGCCCCTATTAGAGCCTGGTTTGGCCCTGTTTCATCCAAGCCACAGCCAGATTATCAAATTTCTGCACCAAAAGAAAATTTCACTATATTTTAACAAAATCTCTTCTGAATTCAGAAAAAGTAGAGAAAATTTATTTTTATTCGCAAACTTGGCACTAATTTGGTTGAAACAGGGTACTTCTTAGTATTTTCTGATAATAAAACAATTTTGAAAATTTTTACGCTATTTCGTATAGATATGTCTTAAAATAAGACATCCGTTTTTGCTGTAATAAATACTTTTTTATTATTTGAAGCTGAATAGTAATTAAATAATTACAGAAAATATTGATACAATGTATATTAATGAAGATACAATTTTACATATATATATATTTGATGTGCATTTGATAATTATTAAATTACGCGTGACGGATACATTTTATATATATATATATATATATATATAAATGGCTGACTATAACTTGCCGTATTTCCTTTAAATGTATTTGCGAGCGTATATATATATTGGCTCGTGTATAAATTTTCTTTGCAGTAATTGAACAATTATAGTTATACTCTTCTCTGAGAGAGAGAGAGAGAGAGAGAGAGAGAGATAGTGAGAGAGAGTGTGTGTAGTGGATTTCAAGTGTTACTGCTTCATAAAACTTCTATATCCACTTACTTTAATCAGCCGTTTATTTACTCACACCGTCAAGTATATTTCTTGATATCAAATTTCATTTATAATGTTTCCTTCATACATAAAATACGTATTTAATAACATCAAACAACAAGACAAACATATATGTGATAAAAACCCTTTGCGAAATAATTTAATGTGCGAAAAAATTAATCTCGGTTTACATTTCCTATATATATAAAATTTGATTTTATATGCTTTGCAATGTTTTTATTCAATAATATTGATGCAATATTTCCGTGTAATATTCGCAATATTGTCGTGTCATTTTAGTATACAATTATATGGAATATTTATGCAATATTTCCGTACAATATTCGCAATATTGTCATATAAAAATTAATACAATGATATGAATATATATTTATACGAAAAAAAATCTT